TGGCAATGCATCTCCATGCCTGAAATTCAGAATAGAAAGCCAAATGCCTTTTTATTTTGTAAAGCTACTATTATTAGCATAATATACTCTTGGAATCAATTGGAAAATCCAATGCATAAAATGTTTCCTATCCCTTAAACTTAAAAAAAAAAAAAGGCAGAAAATTGCAGCTGTTTAGTTGGTTTTTTTTTTATTCTGTTAATCTCATATTCATAATTTCCCAGGCTTCAATCATTTTCCTGAGAGTGTGTCCTTTAAGACCAAGAAGAAAATGGAAGATTTCCTGGTTCCATGCAGCATCTGGGGCTCTATTTTTCCCCCTTAGACACCAGTTGTGGCCTTGTCCCTCAGAACTAAGAGTTAAGTCAGATTAAAAATCAGTTTCTTCTCTTCGCTTCTTTGTTCTCAAAAAAAGACAGACTCTAAAATAATGTGGGGGCGAGCGGATCTTTTGAAAATGAATACTTAAACACTTTGCCCACTCATTTGAAGAGCCACTTTGAGATTTTCATTCTTTATTTCAATCTGGAATTTTTTTTTTTAAATGATTGTTATGGGCTCCAAAAATGGAGCCAGCCACCAGCCCAATGGATGCATCTGCCATTGTTTTACTAACAGTCAAAGAAATTTCAGTTCTCTGGACATGATGGCTTTACTGATGGTTCATCTCAACAGAAGATAGCATGAGCCCCTGCAGAGAGAGGGGCTAAGGTCATCTGAAAGAGCAGCATAATGCATTCTGCAGCCTTAGCCAGAGGGAACCATCCCCCTGAGTCTTAGCATTTTTGTCCAAAAAGTTACCTTGATAAGAAAGCATAGGGAAACTGAGAGTAGACCCCTCAGCGCCCCCTCCCCAAGAGAGAGGTGGAAACAGTGTTTCTGCCCATTTCTCAGATTTATCCATGTGTGATCTGAGAGAAGCCAGGAACTTTTATTTTCCTCCGGTCCTCTGTCTTCTTCGATAGCACTGACTTAACTGCCTCTCCAGCCCTTCTCTCACACCCTTCATGCTGAGTGTCCTGCTCACAAGCTTACTGGGAAATCCTCCAGACCCACCTCCCAAGTCTACCTTTCCAGGTTGCTTCATCAGTTGGTCCCCCAACTTGTCTTAAACTTCACATCTCAGCCTCCCCCCACTGGCCACACCAACTTAGTCACGCAGTCGGGAGCCTCCTGTGTATAACTTCATCCTCCCAAGACTTATGCCATCCTTTCTTCCAATTCCTGCTTCTTTGAAATGTTGATTTAAAATTTAATTCCTTCAGGAATTGCTCTATATTTTATCCTCTGCTACATCTAAATATTAAATAAATACATTTGATAAAACATATATTCTATATTGTATATCTATTATGTATATCACATACAAATTGTACAATGAAATGTAGAAAATGCATCTAAATACTGAATCTTATTAAATAGCAACTTTTTAAAAATTTGAAGCCTTAAATTACTCCCATTTACAAATTCTGGGGCCTCTACACTACTCTTTTATGTAGAACAATTAATTACATAGTTACTGTCAGTATTTATCTTGGCAAGTTCTATTTTTTCACTTTATTTTCTTTCACTTTACTTTGTCCTTTCTACATCTTTACAAAGTCCTCATGCTATCATTCTTGAAAGAGAAACATTTTGGTATCAGAATCTTCAAAAATAATCTTGTTCTCAATGACCATCAACTAAAATATGCTAGTATTAATTGATCATTAAGGAAATAACAGAAAGTAAAACAAAGTATAACCACAACTAGGGACATTTTACTTTAGAAGAGATTCCTGAAGTCTTCAAGATGCATAGAACACAGTTCTAGAGGTGGAATGATCAGTGACAGAGACGATATTTCAAAAAGGAGATAAATCTAAGGAGGCATGTGACCTGGCTGCATATAACCAGGTGAGAGAAGGGAGGGAATGAGCTAGCACTCTCCCACAGCTGGTTGACAACAGTGCCCCTCACTGGTAAAAGAAATTGCCCTTTCCTTGATCCAGACTATAGCTGAAGGGACCAATCGTATTCTCTGTTCAGGGCTCCCTGACCAATGGAATTTAATGAAGGCAGAACTGTCAATTCCTAAAGCTAATTCTAGCCTAGTTAGCTGGGACTTAATAGAAGTGTTAGGAAGAGTGACAGGTTCAAATGAGGTAAATGTAAAGAAAGTTTTTTGTTTGTTTTTTTACATAATTTCTCCCCTTTCTGATCCCTTCCCCATCTTCTCCAGATGCCCCAGCTCCCCCAGAGTCCTCTCATATGTGGGTTTTAACATTAAAAGACCATATTTTCCCCATATCTGTTAAGAAAGATACCTCGATAAAATAGGCATAAACAACATATCTCTAATGATGGCATTGCAAGTGTTTCAGATTTTGGTGAGGGAGATATAGAAGTAAGTAACACCTTCCTAGATCCTGCCAGATCACCCTTTAGTGCTCTGGGCCAGTGACAAGTTGAAAGCAAAGTATCTGGAATGTATTAGGTCAAAGCTTCCAGCAACAAAACAGGTCACACACTTTTATTCATTTCAAAATGGACATAAACATTCTTCATATTTAGGCAAGAAATTTAAGCACTTGCCCTTATCTTCTTACTATTTCTTAAAGCTCTTTTATTTCCTCTTGAAATATGGACCCATTGTGTTCTCTGTCCTATAGCAAGCTTCTCTCCCATTTTGTAGAGAAAGTGTTACTAAAAGGTTCAACATAGAGGAATTTTCACAATCATAATCGATTCTTCCTCATGTGCCTGTTCTTTGGCACAGGGATAAGCAGGACAGGGATATGCCTCTTCCAGATCCTGGACCTTTTGGCCACCTGCCCTTCCTGAGCCCCTAAGGAATGGAAAGGTTGAAGCCCCTCTTCTCTGTGGTTGTGCAGTGTTCTCACACTCACTCTGAGGCTGACTTCCCTGTCCAACCAGGTGCAGGCTGCTAGGTGGTGCTTCCTCGCTCTTTTACTGTGTCCCAAATCGCCCATGCCTCTGCTGGTTAAGCATTTTGCCAAGAGATACTCACTTATCTGCAAGATATCGTGCATATTATTATTCCCCTTTCATGGATTCACAAATTGAGATCCCAAGAGTCTCTCCCCAGGACCCAGGAATGAGTCCCTCAAACATCTTGTTTGAGTCCCAGGACAGGGTAAAAACAATATGAAATGAATGTCTTCAGTAGGCAACAATGAGGTTGCAAGAGCAAAACTTTTCTCCGGCTGAACACTATTTTGTCACCAGCTGAACACTATTTTGTTCCACGTCAATTCTGTGGACATTTACTGGGTCTCTATTAGATGCTGTGCTAGATGCCTAGAATACAAGTATGAAGAAATATAGACTCTATACTCAAGGCAACAGTCTGCAATTTTTTTCTTCAAATAGCCCAGGGAGAATATTGTGTAATTTTCATTCAATATGCCAAAAACCTAGATTAGCAGGTGTAATGTAAGTGCCTCAGGTGAATGAGAAAAGACAGCCACAGGGAGTAGATTCAGTGTGAAGGACTCTCAGGGAATTTATGCAGTGCTAATCTATGTGTAAGACAGATTTTTACATAGTTCTTACTGAAGGGCTCTTCCTTCTCCCTGAAGATACATAATTTTTCCCCCTTAAAGATAAATGAAAAATTTTGACAGATTTTTCTTCATTTAAAATTTTCATCAAAAGTAAATCTTGCTGACTGAATGAACAGGGGACAGTGGGAGGCAGTAGAAAGACACTGACCTGGAGTCATGTAAACATGTTCTAGTCCTGGCCCTGCCACTGAGCAAATAAATGCTTTGAGCAAGTCACTGTGCCTCTCCAGAACTGTTTCCTTATCTGAAAAATGAGTCAGTAGAATGAGCCATAACAGTGCTTATAGCACGTGCTGTGTGCAAATTCTCAGGGCTGTACACATATTAATTCACTTAATCCTCACAACATCTCTATGAGATAGAAGAGATACAGAGCATTTTTCACCCTTACTTTATAGATGAGTAAACTGAAACACAGAGAGGTTAAAATAGTCTTGCCCAAAGTCTTGCCCAAAGTAGCAAAAATGAGATTTAGACACACTCAATCTATTTCCAGAATCTACACTCTTTATCACTATGGTGAACTGCCATTCAGCAACCAAGGAGAACTAGAAGGTACTGAAGTCCCTTTTAATGTTTACATTCTATTGATCTGTGAGTTTATGATGACTTCTAAAAGCTCAGATTCTATATTTTAAACCAATGGAGCAAAGAGTTTATAAAAACAATTTATAATCTATGAATCAAAACTACCAGCTCATAATACATTAGAAATAAAAATGTTCAAAATGCTTTCATAGATATAATCACTTTAGATCCTAACTGGATCTAGGGTACCTAGGGAAGGTAATAGAACCATCCACCAGACCAGGAAAAGGAAGCTCAGAGAAGTCAGGACCTTGATTATGGCACCCAATAAAACCAGGGGATGAGTCTTACTTCTCCAGCAAGACCAGAGTTACATGTTACTTCTCCATCCAACCTGAGTTACACGTTTCCTCCAGACTTCCTCTTGGATTGAGAGAAAACCACCAAATTCTGAGTAATGACAGAGAAAAAAGCCCTTTCCTCTGAGGCTCTACTCTGCATCCCTCCATTGCTGGGTTTCTCACAGGGACACCAAGATGTCTAGCCCTGCATCAAAGGAGCCAGCTCATACAACCCTTCAAAATTTAGATTCACATGTGGGGGTCACTGCAGACTGAGCTGCTCTGGCCTTAAACTGCATTCCAGGCCTTTTAAAGAGCCATCTAACCTCACAGCATCTGCTATCTCTGCTCCCACTTCCTCTCCATTTACAAGGCAGTTTCTGCCCTCCTCTAGAGGAAACTCTCAAACATCACCTTTAACTTCTTGGTTTAAAAAGCAGCTGCTTGTTCCCTTAACACACCTGGTGCTTTCCCAGCATTGAGTTTCTGATCACATCCTCCCCTCCCCATGGAATATATATCCCACCATCCTGCCTTCAGATCCTACCCATGTTTACAGACCTACCTCACACATCACCTCTTCCAGGTAGCCTCTCCTCGTCCTTCCAATTAGATGTGATCCATTATTCTTTGATTACCCACAGTACTTTTTGTGCCTTTCTTGTGACACTCAACTTCTGCTTTTTTGTTGCAGTTGGGCTTATATTTTCTTATCTCCTTCACACTCAGCCGGCTTTTTACTTCTTGATAATGCTGGGAGCAGTGCTTGGCACTGATAAAGATCTGCTTGACCTTAAATTAATCTTCTCCCATTCTGTAGAATTCACTCTGCAAAAATATATGACAAAGAAAGGGATCATTAGACTCTAATGTCTTTCCCAAATTTCACCATTGCTTTTTTTTTTTCATCAATTCCTGACTGACAGAGCTCAGCCCCAGAGGTGAGAATATCCTTTCAGTAACTGCCACGTAGCCTGTCTCCAAAGAGGTTTCTGAGCGTGAACATGTCAGTCTGAGACTGTGTTAATTGGATCTTCAGCTGTTCAAGGTCCACACTACACAGCTGCTGTTTTACCGCAGAAACAGAGAGCTGGGGATGATATAAGCAAAGGAGATGGGATCAAGAAAATGTCTTCACTCTTCCAGGGCACTCGGTTTTCACTTAAACTCATCGTCCTTACAGAGGGAGAAGGTGGAACCAAGGAAAGACTACCTGTGTGTTTCATTCTCCCTCTCCCCTGTCGGAACAGAGAAGGGGACTGTTGTTTGGAATTCCGACATTTGAAGAGTTTAAGTTTAAATTAGAGGAAAAGTGGAAAAGAAAAACCCAATCCTTTCTCATAAAGACAATAAAACTGGCCAGCATAAAAATAATCCCAAGATTTTCAAGTCTTTAGAGTCTCTCCTTAAAAATAACTCAATGTATGCCATTCTGGACAGTAACTCAAAACACTGCAACAAGTATTTGACTGGTTTTTCCCACTTACCGCATCTGAGTCTGGAGAACCAGAATCAGACACTAAGTAAGGGCCAGAGCTTTGGGGATTAGGTTTGCTGGAGAAGAGAGTCACCCAGGCCTCTCCCCTGTCCACATAGAGGCAAACCCAGAACACCTCTGGAACTTAGATACCACCCACAAGCAAGTGGGTGGGTGTCCATTGTTCACTTGATCAAATGAGGTGATTTGGAAGGGTTGAGGAAAAGGCTAAATACTGCTTCTTGCTCACAGAGCAGTATATGTAAACCTTTTTTCATTGTCACTCTTCTAAGAAGTCTTTTTAAACTTTTTTTCTAATTGTTCCTCCTTGACAATTTAATGCTACAAGTATACTATACATCTGTGTTCTGTAACTCTTTGGAGCCACTGTCATGCCTCAGATTTTTGTGTCCCTCAAACACTGATCGCCCACCACAACTCCCTGGGAGGGTGACACTCTTCCTGTAAGAACACATGCCACAGACCTGCCTCTGTGGGCACTTTATGGGCACCACACGTAGGTTCCTTTTTCATCATTCCTCTCACTCTCCTTCAGACTTTGTATGAGCCCTGCAGGCACAGAGCTGGAAGGCCTGAGATGACTGAGTGACTGCTCTACGGAATGCCGTAGCTATGGAAGGGCATCAGGGTAGAGAGATTGACAGCAAGTCCACAGAAACGGTGTGTTTCATTCAGTGAAATCTTAGATTTCACAGTAGCAAGTATTGCACTAATAAACAAAAGACATGGATTAATGAGTAAAACTTTCTGCAATAAACTTATCTAAAGAATAGCATTACAGAGTTCAGAAATTGGTTATTCCATTGCTCCTTTTTCAGCAAAAGGGTATGAAATTGGATTTTTCCTTCCTTCTAATTCATTTTTCCAATATTATAATTAACTTGAAAAATAGACCTCAACTTCTGCACCTTCCCTTTTGCCTGCACACTTAATAGGCACAACATTATGATTCCAGTTATTAGCTCGCTTTAGGCCAAAAATAAGAAGGCTCACATTACATTAACATTTCCATTATCAATCAGAAAATTGCAGGTCAGCTCCTTGAATGATATATTGCTCAGCACATTAAATCCTTGAACTCAGCAAAAATGTATAAATACTTTTACTCCTGAAATTATGGTTTACGAGAGACACATGGCAGGGTAAATGGGAGATGAGGAGAATAATCAATTTAGATTGGTCTAAATGGAAGAACAATAGATTGCTATTTCTTTCCTTTATCTAATATCGTAATTGAGAGCTCATCAAACCCATTTTGATACTCATTCGATACCCATTTTAGTATCAAAGAGGTGGTAATGAGCAACCAATTGAAAACTTCTTAGCTTTTGGCTTTGTGCTAGTTAACCATCTGTTCTACATACATCGCCCTGGGGGAGCACCAACGGACATTTACCGACTGATGATATCACTAACACGGGGTTATTATCCTTTCACCTGGGCACCAGAGGACATGGTTTTTCTGCTTGAAGCTAGTGCCAAACTCTATGTACTCGTCATGGCAGATTCCACGGGTTTATTATTAATCTCCTCCTAAACATTTGTTACTTTCAACATTTTGAGATCTCAGTAGTGCTTCCTGGTGAATCTTCTCCATAGCACTAGCTTTCTCCACAAAATAAAGCAAAAATATTTTTTGTTGTTCTTTTAGTTGGCATTATTTTAATACTGTGTATAGCAGGGGTAAACAAACTAAGGCTTGTGGGCTAAATCCAGTCACACCCATTTGTTTCCCTATTGTCTATGGCTGTTTGCCCAGCATGAGAAGTACTGAATAGTTCAAATAAACTGACTTGCAAAGACAAAAAAAATTACTGTGTGGCCCTCTACAGAAAGTTTGCTGAACTGTTTTGTGACACAGATTTTTAAAAAATAAAAATGGAAAAAATTAAAATATTTTTCCTCAATAGTTTTAGAATTCAGAGTTTAGGAATATTTTTAGAACAGAATAAGATATGGTTGTTTTTCTACTCCTGGGAATGAAATTTGGAAATATAAACCCAGAAACGTAGTAAAAACATTATTGATAATGATATGGGTTGTATATTAGCCATCTGTTATTTTTGTTGAAAAGCAATATTAAATTTTCTCTTTGAACAAGAACTGTAGATGCCCATTATAGAACAGACTGGCATTTTCCCAAAGCACAGATGTTTTCTTCTTAAGCAAGGAAGGATGTTTGAGAAATGGACATAAAGTAGAACTTTTTTATACATGTATATAGTTTTGACAGTAATATCCCAAGTGATCTCTTAAAGAATATCAAGGCAAAAAATATAGTGCAATTAATGCTATATTGTTGCTGAAAATTATATTACTTAAGGAGAATAAAGGATCTGAGAACAGGAATATAGCAATCAGTGATTGTTATCACCTGTACAATAGTATGTTTGCATCTACATTTTTTGATGATATCAAAATACTCATTAAATCTGCTCATCTTGTCTACGGCCATGCCACCCTGAACAAGCCCGATTCCATCTGATCTCGTAAGCTAAGCAGGGTCAGGCCTGGTTAGTACTTGGTTAGTACGAGGGAGACCACCTCGGAAGACCAGATACTGTAGGCGTAAAAAATAAAAAATAAGGGATTGTAAGCTGACAAGGTCCTTGCAATCTGTGAGGTCAACCAAGGGTTGCCTTGCCTAAAAATAAATAAATAAATAAATCTGCTAATCTTTATTAAATATCTACTATTAAATATGTTAAATATATTATGTATCTACTAAATAATACTAAGACGCAAAGCTATAACAGACATAGCCCCTGCTCTCAGAAAACTTAAAATCTAGTAGAGATGCTGAGATTTGCAAACATATTTTATCCAAAGTCTATTTTACATACTTTTTATATTTTTAACATATTGAACAGAGGTAAGAAAAGCTTTATGCTTGATTTAATCAATTACTTGATTATCATAACTTTAACAGCATGAAAATAGCCAACTGCATGCAGCCCCCCAAAAAACTCATCTTTCCTTCCCAGGTGCCATAGTGACTACTATTCTACTATATTTTAGAAATTCATTTCTTTAGGTTAGGCTTTGCTCCAATTTCTTTCTAATATCAATAAGTTATTTATTATTGTTCCAGGCATATTTAAGTGTTGACATTTTAAATATAAGAATTGCTTAAATAAATTACTGCAATAGATTGCTTTAATTTTTTTCTGGTAATCTCACCTAAGATGGAATTGCCAATAGACGATTTACATGTTGTCATGTTATTTATTTATCAGATCATTTTCCACTATAAGACATAGGACCCCAGCTCCATGAAGGCACGGGGAATTTTGTGTGAAGGGTCATTAAAAAGAGACAATATACACAAAGTGTATGTGGGGCTGGAGTCCCACAAAATAAGCTTAAACTCTTCACAATCTATAAAGACTGAGTGTGTATAAGGAGTTAATGTTTCTAAGAAAATCAAGAGTCAGCAGCAGAGAGAAAGGTGGTCTTCTCAGTTACCCCCACACTCCTAAAAATCAATCAGAGTCAATAGTAGTATCGAGGTGGGGTGATGGTGATAAAGGGATAGAGAAAAAAGAGAGATTTCCCATAAATTCTACATTATTGATGACTGACCACACAGAGGCTAATGTCCACAACAAGAATGAGCATTTATAAACTCATGTGTTAAAGCTCTGTTCCATTCTAATGCAAAAAAAGAAAGAAAGAAAGAAAGAAACCTTTTATTAACTTAAGATTTTTATGCCTTGATCATAGGAAGAGCCACTTGAAATCATTGATTAAGCCTAAAGTAGAATGCAAGGTACTGAAATCATAACATAGTTGTAGGGAATTCAAATGCACAATTATTCATTAATAGGTACTAAAAACTATAATAAAGCAGAAGACTTCAGTGAACCTATTTCAACTGACACTGAGTATAAATATGATTTTATTAAATGACCATGTTAATTTGCCAGTCCAGCTACAGCTAATAAGTCTACTCCAAATCTTAGCAATACATGTTTAATTTGCTTCCTAGTTTATTTATTGTATTTATGCATATTTGACTTAATATATAACAAGTAATTATCTTGCTGGGATTCTTTTTTCTTTCTTTCTTTGTAATCATGTGTTTAGTTCTATGAAATTTTGGCACATGTAAAGGTCTGTGTAACTACCACAACAATCAAGGTGCAGAACTGATCCATCACCACAAAGCATTCCCTTTCTATGCCTTCCTAGTCACACCCTGTCCCTAACACCTGGCAACCACTCATCTTTTCTCTACCTCTATAATGTCATTTTGAGAGTGTTATATAAATAGAATCATATAGGAGGTATCTTTTTTTGAAGATTCATGTATTTTTTAAAGTACAT